AAGGTTTCCGGAAAAAGCTGTTTCTATAGACGATGTTTATGTCAAAAATGCTATCTATGAACAGAATTATCTATCAACAGTGCTTTCTATGGGACGAGATATCTACGAATAGTATTTTCTACCAACAAAGTTTTCGGCAAAACGAGCTGTCTAGGAATAGCGATTTCTATGGCTAGTGCTTTCTATGGAACGAGTTATCTACGAACAATATTTTCTACCAATGAAGTTTTCGGCGAAACGTGCTTTCTGAGAATAGAAATTTCTATGAGCCATGCTTTCTGCATCCAGTAGTGTCGTACAAACGTGATTCTGTATTACGTTCCACACTCATGAAATACTGACTTTTAATAGTATCTAATCATCTAAATGTAAAAATTACCCCGCCAATGTTTTTCACCCAACTTTTAAGGGCTCCGGTTAAACTCGAAACTTGTCGGAACAATTCTTGTGACACAAAATTATCCCTAAAGTTCACTTACGATGTAGAAGAGGGATGCTCTTTATGAACGATCAGAGAGAGATGAAACATCAATTAAGGTTTTTATCTATAATTGTTACACATAACATAACAAGAGCACCATACAACTAAAAAGTACATAATTAAATATCTATCTACATAACTAACATATCATTCCATAGTCATCCCTTCTCCTGGCTGTAAATAGTACTATGCACAGAGCCGCGGTCTGGTGACACGACACCCGGGTCGAGGCCGGGGAGTGCACTCTCCAACGCGACCGCAGTACTTCGCCGTCCTCACTCCGCGCCACGGAAACCACGCCCCGCATCCATTGCAGGCACTGGAGTTAATACGCCTAAAGGTATGATACAGAATATTAGGTCTTATTTTATTGAGTGTTGAGTCGTTTTTTGATTAATGTGTGTTCGGTTTATTTCTACTACTAAAATGAAGACTTATTTTCTTATTAATGAAGTCTTTGTTTTTCATTGATGTGTATTGAACTATTTTATATTACCTATTGTTTAAAGTGTGATGTTGTAGTAGTTTTTTAGAATTTGTACCTTAATTGTTTAATTAATTAGGTCTAGTTCTGATTGAAGTTTTAGTAGTTTAGTTTTACAGTGTGTTTTTCGAGGTCCTAAATCACAGACGACGTCATATCATAAGTGTATTTCGATACGCGTCGTGTGTTACCGGCCTTTTAGTTTTAGGTTTGTTGTATTGTAACTCTTATTGATGTGTGTTTAGGATTTAATTTTGGCTGTGTGTTCGATGTTAGCGATGTTTTTAATAATAATAATGTCGATGTTTTAACTTATGTGCTTTTAATGTAAATATTAATATTGTTTTTAGTAATTAACATTGGTATATATAGATTTACATTGATTTAACTTATAATTGATATTGAAAATAATAAAATTAATTTTCGAACCCTTTGCAACAATATTTGAGTAATTTAACTTTTGAATACAATTTTTGCGTCTGAGTTTAAATACTTTTGTACATTACATTGATCTTATAATCAAAGAATTCAGTGATATATACTTACTATTTACTTAGTTTTGTATGATAAATTTCGAGCGACTTGATTATCAATTTCGCATGACATGAAGATATATAAAAATACGCTCAAACGAGTTGTCAACGAAAGAAAAATGAGTAATTCCAACCATCCCGGTGTCAGGCGGTGTGGGCTCGTGTCCGGGCGGCAGCGCGGCGACGACGCCGAGCGTGTCCCGCGACGGCAGCGTGCTGGCCGCCGCCGACGTGCCGCCCGCCGACGTGCCGCGCCGCGCCGCGCCCGCGCGACGACCGCGCCCCGCCTCGCTGCATGCCAACATGCATAAGACAAGTGAGAGACTCACCACTCATCTTCATAATCTCCACATAATAGAGACAGGGGATGAAAATTAAAAATGTAATTAGTCCGTCAGTTGGTTAGGTTAATGAAAAAATATTAGACACGCATTTTTTTATTCTGTTCTATAATACAATGATACTTAGATATAACGAATCAAAGTTTAAGGAGTGGGGGCTAAAACGTCATTTCTACGTATAAAATGTACATAGAAGTGACGTAATCTACCTGACGGACATTAAAATAAAATAAGTCATCTACCCTATTAAGGAAAGCGGAAAGTGGCCTACGCTGGACGTTCGACATCATACCTCGGTCCGAATGTTTCTTTCTACCCCAGATAGGGCCCAATAGGACTGATGCCGAAGAGCAGAAGTAAAAACGGGATGGTTTTTAGTCAGTAACAGTTTGACACTCCTTCTCGCCCGACCCGGGCGGGAGAAGTTATTGGAAGATTTCCTTCTCTCAAAAAAAGGCACAAGGCTTCCTCTACTGAACTAGGCTTCCCCTTACAATGAAACTGGCCTTCCATTACAATGGAAGTGTTTAACCACCTCATTGACATTAGCTCCTTCTAATACAAGCATGTAGACAGAAACTTACCATTATACGTTAAGCAAAACGAGCCAATTACTTCAAATGTACCATTTGTAAACAAGTTGCTTTTTGTTAGGTTTTTTAATAATGGCTAAACCATTTTTTATCTCCAGCTCCGCCGGTGACGCCGGGTGAGGGCAAGCCACCAGTACACAGAAAGCCAAAGCCATCCAAAGAACACGATAAGGTAAATATTATTTCATTTAAAATTATTTAAGATTTGTTCTACATGAGATGTATTAGGTGAGAATCAGCTTTTTTGAAATCAATTAAAAAACAACATAACATAACATCACGCTTTTTATACCCGAAGGTGTAGCCAGAGGTGCAAATTACGGCACTTAATGCCACTGTACAATGTAACACCCACTTTTTACTATTTATGTTATGAGTCCCGTGTTATAGGGGGTGAGCCTATTGCCATATATCGGGCACAAGATCTTTACCGTGAATTTAGTATTAAACTGTAAAATACCGCGAGGTCACCGGTGACCGCAACCTATTGTTCTTTAATTGTGTCTATAATGACGGTACTCAACGAGTTAACATCGTTTCTTATTTTACCAAATCCAGGGCGGGCGCGGCAAGTCCCTGTCGGCGTCCCCGGGCCGCACGCTGTCCCCTTCCCCCGCGCACTCCAAGGACGCCAGCGTCGACAAGGAGATCAATAAGGTAATACTGCTTACTGAGGGCTTAGTACGAGTTAGTTTTACGTTAAAAGTATTCGAAACGAGAACGCGTTCGGCGCTCTGATTGATTGGTTCATTGGCACCGGCCAATCACAGCGCTGAACGCGTACTCATTACGATTCCTTTAAACGTAAAGGGAAACTCGTACTAAGGCCTCTGATATATTTTGAGGAGAATAGTTCAGTAGTAGGTTTATAAGGTCTTATTTGAAATGTGGATTTGGGTTGTATTCTCTCTTAGTCTTCTACGGTTTGGATGGGTATAAGGTCTTAAAGCGTTCAATGTCTGATCGAAGAAACTAGGGTCATCCAAAAGCATAAACAATTTAGAAGATAATAATTATGACCTAAACTGAACCTTTTAAGTGATTGAAACCGATATAAGGATAATAATTAATTTTACGTGAAAACTGATCATCACACCTTTTATCCCCGAAGCTGTAAGAAGAGGTGCCCATTATGCCACTGTACAATGTAACACCCACAATGTACATTTATTTTATGAGTCCCATGTAATAGGGGGTGAACCTATTGCTATATACTGGGCACATTTCCAGACTTCGTGCTATTAGTGAGATATTTAAAAAAAAATCAGTAGTGTTTTTCTTGACCCGGGAATTGAACCCGAGACCCCTTGCACGACTGCCTAGTTGGCTAAGTGGTTGCGAATGCGACTATTTTTCAAGCTTCGAAATACTAAAGATAATAAGACTACCTGAGGATGAATGTCGTATCTGTCCCCCTTGCAGACGACGTCGGAGGCGCGGCAGGTGGACGCGGCGGAGGTCAGCACCAAGCTGGAGGCGCTACAGGGACACAACGGACACGTACCGCACGAGAAGGTACTCTCGGGCTTATACGGCGCTGTAGTACATTACAACCAAATGACTAATAATACCGTTTTAGGTGAATTCATAAAATGTTAAGCCACTTTGTTCGTTCGTCATATAATTTTATTGCGAGTAACATTTGGGTAGGTACTTGGCGTCTAGTCTAATTCAATACTTTTTTCAAGCTGTCAAAAACGACAGTTTTCTATGAATTTTGTACGAGATTGTGTATTGTGACGTCACGTTTTTTTAGAGTCACAAATTAAGTTGGTCATAAAATTAATTAATGATAGCGTGATTTTGTAATATTTTATAATATTGAACAGTCGAAATAATTTATTTTTGATTAAGGCGAGTACCCATTTGCAAAGGTTATACCGATTTACTTTAACCCTTTGAGTACCGTCATTATAGACACAATTAAAAAACTAGTTTGAAAATTAAAAATTATAAATATATTTAAAAATTAGTTTGCGGTCACCGGTGTCCTCGCGGTGTTTGATAGTTTAAGGGAAGGGAAGACGGAGCATACTTTTCTCATCAGACGGTACTTTCTTACACACAGATTAGACTTTCTATAATATTAAAAAAAACTGTTTTCTATTTAAAGGTAAACGAAATCAAAGAAACAGTAGAAGTTAAGGAAGAAACGAAAATCGAGCAAGTAACGGAGGTAACGAAACACGAAGAGAGAGCGAGCGAGAGGTCCGAGCAGAGAGACAAGGAGGAGAAGAAGGAACCCTCCGTCGACAAGACTGAAGATAATGAAATGACCGGTGAGTACTTTTACATTCAAACCTACACCTTGGTAACTACACATGAAGCAATAAAGACTTTGAATTTGAACCTTATTAAAATTATCTTTAGCTGCAAATAGCGTATAATATTAAATGCCTATTATTTCGCGCGACGGTCTCCGGCCCAAGTAGGCAAGGATATATAGCTGGTTGGCTCGGAGCAATAGGAACAGGGTAGTTTTTAGTCAGTGACTCTTATTGACACTTTCATGCTTCACCTAGGATGGGCAGTCATTAGATGATTCTCCCTCTTAAGAAAAAAGCCAATATGATATGCCAAGTTTATTGGTATTTTGAAATACCATTACTTCTGTTTGAATGTCCACTATGTTATCCCAGCGTCGATGACGGCGCGGCGTATAACGACGGAGGAGGAGGCGAAGGCCGCGCTCGCTGAGAGACGACGACGCGCCAGGGAGGAACTCGAGAGACAGGCCGAGCTCGAGAGGCAGAGGTAATACTAATAATATCATAAAGAATAAGAACGTTTATTTGCATAAAGTATGGTAATTAAAGATGATAAAAAATAGTCTTACATACATCGCCTACTGTTTTCGGCATGCAAAGTTAAATGTTACAATTAAAAAACTTATTTTTAAAAAATTCTTACAATTAGGATAACAGATATTTTTCTCTTAAGACAATATTATTAAATGAAAAAGTTTGTGAAGATATATGTATGTTATTTGTTTGTTTATTATTTGTTATCCTTTCACATAAAATCGTTTTACAGACTGCAACGCGAAGCCGAAGAAGAAGCAGAGCGGCAACGTCAGGAGGAGGAACGGCAACGTCGCGAGGAGGAGGAGGCGAGGGAACTGGCGCAACTACAGAGGCAGATGAATGAAGAGAAACTTAGGAAGGCTATCGAGGTAACGCATACGCAATGGGGGCCTACCGTATATTTTCGACCAATAGGGAGTTAACTAGTGTCACGCCATTGGATGTTTAATATTTCACAACTACTGTGATCGGACAAAAATGTCTTCTTGCATTCCCATCACCTGGTGACCAAAATACGGTATTACGTAGTATTATTGAGGTAACAACTAAATATGAAGATCACAACTTGAAAGTATGCGATATTTGCAATAACATAAACTCATTGCTTAAAACTTTGTGAGTCAAATGAGTGGTCACTCAATAACTCCATGGCACTCATTTCAACTCATTTCATAAATTCTATGGATAGATTTAGAACTAACAAATTTATGTTAATCGATGTCGCCACAACTAAACATGTCGCACCTACGGTGCAATATCGTCACTTATGCAATTTTTGTCAAAACTTAACTGATTATGAAAGAATACTCCAAATTCACCTCTTTACTTGGTGCGTCATTGTCATTTGTGTAGTAAGCAAACTGACATTGTGAGGGCATTACTGTCGTTACGGTTTTGGCGCTAATCTGGACGGCACTAGGAAAACAGTGTTTCATTGTTCAGTTGTGCGCGGGCCCCCGCAATACATAAGTGACGGTATAGCACCGGAGGTACGATGTGTTAAACTCACCCTCTAAAACAAGGGACTCGTAACATAAATAGTGAAAAGTAGGTGTTTGTTGAGGCGGGGGCGAGGGACGCGGGGGGGTGGGGGCTGCTCGCCGGCCGGTGTCCAGCCGCGCGGCCGCGCTTACGCATTTTTTTTACTTGTTGCTATATTTCATATCTACATCTCGTTATTCCGTTCTTATTCAATTCATTACACTGTGTATACAGTCCACTCGCATTTTTATTTTATCACATCGACAAGAGCTATCGTCGCGTTTAGTGTTACATTGTACACTGGCATTAAGTACCGTAATGTGCACCTCTGCCTACCCCTTCGGAGATAAAAGGCGTGATGTTATGTTAAACATGTGTTGATAAAATCTCCTCTCAATTTTCCAGGCACAACAACAGCTCGAACGCGAAGAAGCTGAACGCAAAGCTCGCGAGGAAGCTGAGAGACAAGCGAGGCTTAAAGAGGACGAGGAGAAACGTAAGGCCGCCGAGGAGGCTGAGAAACTGCGCAGGGAGGAGGCAGAGAGGGAGGAGAAGGAACGACTCGCCAGGAAACAACGGGTCGAGGCCATCATGGCCAGGACTCGGCTCAGGAAGGTGAGACATACCATGGAAACTGCGCCGTACTCAGTGGGTGGGATAAATTATATGTATTAGTAGTAAATGAATGGTAAACTTTTTTTGAATTTAGTAAAATAGTGTTAAATAAGAGTTTTTGGTCGTGGTGGCCCGAAGTTTAAGACACTTTCATGCATGATGGTGCGGGCTCGAAATCTACCAACAACCAGGACCAATGTGACTTTTCCGAGTTATCTGTACTTTTAAGATTATTTAGACACCACTGACAAATGGTGAAGGAAAACATCGATCGTGAGGAAACCTGGGCTTATAAGTTCTAATTATAAGTATGAAATTGCCAACCCGTATTGAGCAGGCGTGGCGATTAATGTTCAAACCTCCGTTCGAGAAGAGACCTTGGGCAGCAATTGCCACTTATAGGCTGTTGATGAAGAGTTTGTGGTTTTGTGCCCACCATTAGACACTAATGAAATGAGTTAGCTTCGTTTATTGTTATAAATTTATCTACAAATTGCACATTTACAAAATATTCTCCTGGTCTACACGCGTCATGCTATATGAGCGTCACGATTGACATGAAACCACTCAACTTGATAAGGCGGACTCAACATGATTCATGTGCAGGCGTGGTCCATCGTAGGCTACATCATCACTTACCATTGGGCGACCTAGTGGCCAAACGTTGTCCTACATCATATTTAATCTCACCTTGATTACTCTTACAGCAAGCAGAAGAAGATAAGAACAAGCAATCAGCCCCTGCAGAGCCCAGTGCCCCCGCGGCCCCTGCGGCCCCCGCGGCCCCTGCAGCCCCCGCGGCCCCCGCGGCTCCCGTGGCCCCCGCGAACTCCGTAGCCCCCGCGGCCCCTGCACTAGTAGAAGTAGAGGCGGCGGCCCCTGAACCTGTGTCGGCCCCTGCATCTGATAATGGAAACGTCAGCGCCACCGCCGACCTGCTCGGACTAGACTTCGCACAGGTATGTTAATATTATATAATCTGAATGTATCAAAACTCTACAGTTGACACAAAACCTTCATTAATAACAAAATTCAAAAAATGTGACAACATCTTCATCCATTGATGTCTTCAATTTTGTATTATTATTGATCTTTTATTAATAGAATTATATCGTATGGAAGCGTTAAAATATTGTTATTAAGTTCATTCCATTGGTGACGCTCGCGCTTTAACAAAGAGCGCATCCTATCATATTGTGGTGTGTTTATAAAGTCGACAAACATTTAATTACGCCCACTATAACCGTACCGATATACATCCAAATGCATATGTGTGAACATTCGCATAGCCATCCATTTCCATGGTAACAATCTTTGCCATTTTGACGAATAATACTACTAAGGTATCTTCCGTGTACATTATACAATAACTAAATTTATTTAATAATGTCCGCAGTCCCAAGAGAACAAGTCCGTGGAAGTAGGCAGCGGGGAGCCGGCCCCCGCCCCCGCCGCGCCCAACAACGGGAACGTCACTGCCGACCTACTGGGACTGTCCGACCAACGACCTGTGAGTATACTACGCAATTTCAATAGTATTTGTATTTAGTTGCTTTGACTTTTCTAGGATGTTCCGAAACTTTGAAAGTACCGGTTATTCTTTATTGGATAACTCAACTTACTGATGTAACTGTTCGATGAGTTTACTTGAATAGTTTCAAGCTAGAATAAGGGTCCACGAAACTAGTCGAGTCATTACGCGATTAGCAATTTAGTGTACCTTGCGTACTTAAGACTTAATGGTATAGCAAAAAATTTCATAAAAAGAATGAAAGATTGATATAAATTATAGTACAATATTCGTAAAATACTTACCTTTTCTTACATGTTTTTTACTAGCTGTTGCGCGCGACTTCGTTCAACTAGGATAGAATATTCGCTTTTTGGGTTTCCATTTTCCAAAATGATAATAGTCTATGTTACTCTTTGATACATCAGCTATCTGCCAGTAAAAGTCCCGTCAAATCGTCCCGACTATGTCAGAGAAACGGTAGTTAGTAGTAGCCGGTACAAACAGACATACAGATTAGAAAGTTTTTATACAAAATAAAGGTTTCATTTCATTTCAAATGCTATTTTGGTATATGTATCGTAAGTATATTCATATGCATATAGCAAAAAGCGGTTATTTCAATTTCATTTATATGTATAGATTTAAGAAATATCTATGTGTCTATTCCAGACTGAGGACAAAACCGCAGAGCAGACGACGGCAATGAAACTCCCAACAAACGACAACGCACCAATGACCAACTCGCCAGTCGAGGCCAACAACGGCAACGTGCCGGCCAACATTGGCCACATCTCCGCCAACTTCCTCCAGTCGGAGCGCCAGGCGGCCGACGTCCCCCGCCTGGACGACGTCACCCGCCTGGATGACGTCACCCGCCTGGACGACGACTTCACCACGCACAACGGCCACGGCGCTCACGCCCACCCGCTGACGCTGCAGAATGCGATCTAATCGTCTATAGCTAAGGTTGGTTATTGAATGCAGTCGGTTTTCATTGCGTATATATTGGCTGATAGTCGTGGGTTGTGATAGTGGCATGCTATTATTGATAGTGGAGGTAGGTAGGTATTTATATTGACTCTTCTTTGACTGCCAAGTGAATCCAAAGAATTTTCCTACACAGAGATGTTTAAACGTCTTTTTGAAACTCCTTGGTGGTCAAATAATACATGGATAAGACTTTAGAGGGCAGCACAAGCTTGTCTCGTTTGTTTGTGTGTAACGGTGCTTTGATTTTTGTTCACACATTGTTACTATCTCAAAAACTATTCTCAAAAAATGTTTATTTTTTTGTTATTCATCGTTGGTGCTAGGTAATGTTTTTAGATAGAAATGTAATAGTAACAAATTATTAAACTAGACAAAGTGACCGGTTTAGAAGACGCTAGCTGAAATAGTCTATCTGTGTTAGCATTTTATACATCCAGATATTCTATAGAAATATACATACATACATAACTTCACGCCTGTCTCCCCTGAAATTAGGCAGAGACTATGGAAATATCTTTAAAAATACAAGGATTTTCATTACAAAATTAACAATAGAGAGAGAATTTAAAAAATTGTTCTACAAAGACTCCATTCGAGTCCGAAACTAGTCGAGCTACCTCGAAACTTCATTTTTTACAAGGGTAATGTTTACCCTACATCAAAGGGTAACTAGGGTAAAATCCAGTAGAATGGGCGATCTCTTCAAGCCAATATGTATGCGTGAAAACGTGGTTCATATATCTGTCACTCTACTGAACACTATAAACTAAAATATTTACTGAAACTATTTATTTCCATTTAAAACGCTTTCCTTAACTACATACAACTCTTGTGGTCATTTTCACCAACCATCTCCTAACTAAGTGTTATTTAGATTGAGGGAGCACCTAAGCTAACTTACTTGTACAGTTAGGTGTCATTTATATGTAGGTGAAAACCAAAATGTAATTAAGTGCCACCTATCTTAGCTTAGGGGTTTCTTAAAGTGTAGGATAAGTTGGTGAAAAAGACATTAATTACTTAAACACAACTTGGAATTGAAAACTTAAAAAAGGCAATATAATATTTGTTTGACAGTTCGTAAACAGTTTTGATAGTGATATAAGACTGACGCGATTATTTTCGCTAGTGGCTCCATCTACACATTGCGATTATTGGCTGTTTCTTTAAAATAGTGTAATAATGCGTTAAATCGCAGTCCGATTATTCTTATGTAATGAGTCCGTCACATTTTAATGTAGAATTTTAATAAAGTAACCAGTTCTTTTGTCCAGTGATAGGTAATAAATAAGAATCCATAAACGAACAATAAAATGTTTTGTCTCTTTCATTCTAAAGCTATTAGCTATTAGAATGAGCAAGATAGAAGATTCTATAGTAAAAGGGTTTGATATAAAAGTTGTGTTTAAGTAAAAAAAAATGCTATTTATTTCCACAGAGTGACAGATATAGAAGAAGGCACTAAATTATTATAATATTATTATATCATAAATTAATGCATTTATTATAAGTTATCGCAATCAACTTGGTTTTACTTATTAACTGCTAAAGTCAAAATGTAAGCTTATTCATGTACAATCGAGTTTTGAAAGTAGTAGAAGCGATAAATGAAAATTCTGACTTATGTTCAAAGAAGTAAGGTCAATTATACAATATAATGTACTGATAAAGACATACTTTTATTGATATATTTCTTAGATTTTTTATAAAGAAAATTCTGATTCATTTTCAATGAAATAAAGTCTAAAATCACATGCCAATTATTATAGTGCAATTTATGTTTTGTTTTTTCACTTCTACTGCATTTCAAAACTCTGATTGGCTCATAGTTTTACATGAAAACTAAATAATCTGTTATAATTATCCAAGCCGATAGTCCCGACCAAATGAAGTTGCTAAATCATGAATTACTTTGATCGATTTTCAACTGTAATCTTTTGTAATAGAGTTGAAATACTTATTCTAGAATTTTTCGACTTAGCGACCGCTTGTTGTCAAAATTTTCTGGTTCAAATAGTTTCTAAATTCAAAACCCATACACATTGTTCATAATTATAAAACTTGTAGTCGAATCGATTGCAATACAATATTCTTTAGACAACCAATATTTAGAATTAAGAATTAAAAAATTAAAACAATGTGTGATTTTATTAAATGAAGTTAAATGCCAGGCCGCTAGATTTTTGTTTTCTATTACTATAATTTTGATACTTAAACCACTCTTTAAGGCAATTTTGAAAAACAACCTCATGTCTTTAGAGACAAAGACTAGAATTGCCTGTGTCTAAATTATTTTATGAGTGGTTTGGGGAAAATCGTAAATACAGAATATATTTTGTAATACAGAACAAGCATAATATTTATTCAATGCTAAACGTTAGTAAGTAAAAAATATATTTAAAAAACTAAGACCTTTTTGGACGGATTTGTTTTTTTCTTTGAAGTTCTTTATTTGAAATTTCGTCTCGTCATTGGTGTTGTGTGATACGTTCGAAATAAGTTCTATTTTTAATTTGTAATATAATTTTTAATTCGCTTACTAGTAGTAATTGTGCAATTAAAAACGCGCTGGCAAATAGTGAAAGAATGAAATGAAGGGAAAATAATAACAAATATTAACTAAAAACGAAAAAATTCGAGCATTTAATAGGAGTTTACGTCATCAATTTTACTAAAAGACAAGTAATTGAGCTGAATAGCTCTTACTAATAAAAAACTAAACATCATTTTGTTAGACTATTTATAAGCCTTAACAACGATTGGCTACATTATCATAATAAAGACCAAACCAAACCACACACATTTGGTTTAAAGTAAATACTATAAAATATCCAAGGCAAATGAAATGCCGTATTTGCGACGCCAACTGCAAAATACATCAAACTTAAAGTTTGTCAATCGACATGTCTCCGTATTCAGTAATATAATAAAGATATATTTTACCTAAGTAAAAAGTGTATAGTTTCATATAAGTCAAACTGAAGCTTCATAAATACACGCACATGGATTCTTGAATACGGATTGATAGTGTCGAAACGGACCTAGGACGCTATAATTTGTTTTCTAAATAAATATAAAGAGAAACAATAAAATGTAACAGTATATATATTTGGGGTTGATGAAGTTATGCTTAATAAAGTTACGATAATGTAATTTAAGTTATTTAACAAGTTGTGTATACAAATTTTTGTATGATAGGTAGATAGCATTCAATGTTATTCGGCTTTTTAAAGGATGTTGAAATAAAACCTACTTATCTGATGCCGTTTCGGTTGATGAACGAGGTTACAATGGGTTGCATTAATATTATTTTCAACTGAACTAAGATTCTAACAGTTTAATAGTTATTGTATAAATTAATTATTATGTCTCAAGTTATAGTTATGTTTTCATATAAAAGTGTTGCTAACTATTATTAATGTGTTAAGATTTTTAAACTTATTAGCGTTTCAGTTCTTTCCCTGTTTTTTTTTTATGAGTTTTCTATGAAAATGTAACTAGGACTGGTTGACCCGGGAGGTGGCTCCCTCTAACTGTATATTATTCCATAATATTTTCTTTCACATAATAATAATAGTAGTTTTTTCCAATTTAACCTCTGTTGTGTGTTGAATACATTGTTTTGTGCGTTTAGCGAAGTTAGATAAAGGTTAGTTATTGAAAATGTTTACGGGGTAATCTTGTTTTAGGGTAAAAGTGGCACTCTTACCCTTCTCTTATGAAAAGAGATACCCTACATTGTACGTCGTTTGTGTATGCGAGATATATATCCCAGTGTACTCAACACACCACAGAGGTACATTCACAACAGCTGTCACGCAACTGTCACTTTGACACATGTTTGACAGCTGTCGTTAGTGTCAAATTTAACAAATTTATCATACGATTTTTGCTTGTAGGTAACATTTGTACGATTTGTGTTTTATTTTGCTTATACATCCACTTTTAATCGTTCAAATTATATAAAAAATCATGTAGATGTGTCACGGCCTTAATATTATTATACAAATGTGTTTAGGACGGTGACGCTCGTCGGTTACATGGGTTTATGCTGATTTCTTCTGAAATGTGTTGCATCTATTTTCAGATAAACTTACTGCATTCGAAAGTATCTTACGGCGGGCAAACTGTTCTGGGAAGAGCTTGAACAAACATTGACATTACTTACTGAATAATTTGATAGTGTTAAAAAACCTTCATAGATTATAATCTTGCCAACTTGTTATCAATGAAATTGGAACTGAAATTATAAACTGTCGCATTATTCAGTAGGAATGTTTTACAATGTGTTTTCAAGTATTTCCAATGTATAATTTGTAATATTTTATTAAATTAACCAGTGTGACAGGTCGCCTTCGATACCAAGTCGACCCTCATGTTCCATACATAGTCTGAATGTTATAATTATAAGTTTAAATGAGTTGACGAACGCCACAAGTTGCGTATAAAATATACACTATAGGTACAGTGAACGCGACAAGAATACCAAAATAAGCTAGTCGAAAAATATTATGTAATTATTGAAGAGATTGTGCTATTTAATGTAAAATTTTCAAATTCAAACAAAATGTCGGGTAAGTAATAGTAGCATTAGTGAAACAAGTATGGCGGCCTGTCACACTGCACTCGCGCATGTATGTGTGTGTGCGTGTGTATGTTGTACGTGTGTGTGTGAGGTCCATTCATCGGTACGGTTAGTAGTCGTTGATGGTATGTGTTTGTTATCATACATAGATGGGCAAGGCTTCGTGCGTTATGTAATTACTGTATTACGTTTATAAACATCATGGATTTATTAAATGAAACAATTTTAATACGAAAATAAATACAAAGAAGTTAGTTTTGTGTTTTATTGCTTTTTGTCCCTGGGTTTTGTTATTATAAAATTTAGAGAGAGTATTCTCTCTATCAGCTTTATTAGTCGTAAGACGGTACCTGAACGTAGGGCTCTTCTATAGGTCAGTTGTAATGCCTACTAAGAATACACCATGAAATCTTCGTTTTCGTCCCGCGGCTTGCCATAAGGAGTACTTTCGATATATAAAGTAAAAAAATAACGATGTTATTTTTTATTGAAAAAAAAAAATGGGTTTCGTACCTACATGAGGCACTAGATGTTTTGTAAGCAGTCATTACACATGCCACCCACCGAGAATTACATGACGTGATGTTTGATATGTAGGTATTATGTACTACCTCGTTGGCCGAGTGGTCGCAAGTGCGACTGCCGGGCAAGGGGTCTCGGGTTCGATTCCCGGGTCGGGCAATACTGGGTTTTTAAAAATCTCAGTAGTAGCACGGAGTCTGGAAATGTGCCAGGTATATGGCAATAGGCTCACCCCCTATTACATGGGACTCGTAACATAAATAGTGAAAAGTGGATGTTACATTGTACAGTGGCATTAAGTGCCGTAATGTGCACCTCTGCCTACCCCTTCGGGGATAAAAGGCGTGATGTTACGTTATGTTATAATACATAACATAACATAACAAAGCGTATACGAGAACTTATAGTACATAATATATGTACTATAAGTTCTCGTATACGCTTTGGAAGTTTGCATTCTGCAATGGTTCAATAGTTTTAAAGATTTTATTTGTCTGTAAAACTATTGTACTACCGAGACAGAACCATTTTACTTCGGGAAGAAAACGATATAAATTTCACGGTGTAGTATTGCTTTGTGCTACTCTCCAATTAGCAAAATATGTCTTTAAAGACATATTTTACTACACCGTGAAATTCAGCACTAGCTGATGATTAGGTACATTTCAGATTTTTTTTAGGTTTGTAACCTGATTGAAACACGACTGGTTCTAAGTAAGTAATTCTGTCTTTAACTACTCCGGTGTTTCGAGTGTCCATGGGTGGTGCCACAGTGGTACAGATTGTTTATCATCACCTGATGGTAGTGTACTTAGAGGAGTAGACGATGATGTATTCGTCTACTCATTTACCGCCCATTTAATTTTGTGACTACCTTATTTTATATTTCATGTATACAGCTATGAATACAGGTGTGAATGGGACGCTCCCGAAAACCGTCGACAGTTGAAATTTGAATGGTACCTATAAATTTAATCAAGTTTTATTTTCATATAACATAACATAACATCACGCCTTTTATCCCTGACGGGGTAGGTAGGCACTGTACAATGTAACACCTACTTTTCACTATTTATGATATGAGTCCTATGTAATAGGGGGTGAGCCTATTGCCATATACCGGGCACAATTCCAGACTCCGCTACTACTGAGAATTTATTAAAAACCCAGTAATACTTTATACGACCCGGGAATCGAACCCGAGACTCCTTGCCCGGCAGTCGCACTTGCGACCACTCTGCCAATGAGGCATATTTTCACAAAAGTAAGCAAGATTTTTTTCTTCAAAGAAAACTTTGCCTCTCTAAGTTTTTGTCCTCCATCGTGGGTGCGTTTACAAACAAACAAGTTCACATTTACACGATACCCAGATTCGAAACAACAATTTGTGGATCACACAAAGAGGTGTTCCGTGCGGGAATGGAACCCGCTACACGTTGCGCGGCAGCCAGTTGCCGAGTCATCGTCATCGCGTCAACCGTGCAATCAATAATTTATTCTTTTATGAACCTAACTAGCTTTTGCCCGCGACTTCGTCCGCGGAGAATAATGACTTCTGGCAGAATTTATGCTTTTGTATTAGTCTTTATCATGGGATATTCTACGGTAACAAATGTCGTCAGAATTGATTAAGTACCTAGTAAAGGGCTCCTCCCCCGTAGATGATAGCGTGATAATATGTAGCTTATAGCTCTAGCTTCACTAGAGAACTGACCTACAGACTGACATTTTCGTTTATTATTTAATATTTAAATATTTTGTTTTGACGTTCAAAAGTGCCTTCCTGGTCTAATTGAAATAAATAGTTTTGACTTTGACAAATGTTGACCCGACCTGTTAGTAATATTCATGTAAAATTTGAAGTAAATCTATGCAGTACCTACTTTTTGAGATCATACCGGACATACACAGAGATAGACAGACTAAATAGTTGTTATTAACCGGTCAATGCTGTAAAAAACACGTACACGAAAGCCAACTTCAAATCCCTCTTTTATTAAAGTCGATTAATTAATGTACTAAAACCCCTAAGTGTAACAAATACTTTTCTAACTGCATCAAAGTCACGAGGTAATTGCGCACAAGTCTAATTGTGTCTCTTGTGTCTCTGCATTGTTTGACAATTGTGTCTCTGCATTGTTCTTACATATGCGTACAGTATTGAAATATGTATCAGAGACATTGTAGAACATACTTTTTTAAAAGAGTAACGAATGGAGTTTCTTGCTCGTTCTTCTCCATTCGAATCTACGTTTTGGAATGAGCACCTAGCTTCACCTAGCTTCACTGACGGACTGACTGACAGACTATTATTTATTTTGTATTTGTTGACGTTTCAAAAGTACCAAACTATGGTTTAATTGAAATAAATGCTTTGACTTTGACTTTGACTTTGACAAGCATACATACTTAATAGGTCTACCTGAGAACCTCCTTCTTTTATTGAAGTCGGTTAAAAACTATTACTATAAAATTGCAAAAAAATATGTCAGCGTTTTCAAGTGCGTTTTGTTTACACGCAATACAAGGTGGTTTTGAAACCGTGTGATTTCTCGGGGGCATGTCACAGAAGTCATAAAAGTTCAATGTAAGAGAAAGTTTCGAACCAATAGTTAAAAATACGGCTATAATAAATCGTTTAAGTTCGACAGTATGTCAGAATAAGCGACAGAAATGTTTCTTATTGGAGTTTTATGGAATTAGGAATAATATGAATTACGTGTTTGTGTTTGTGTGTGTTAAGCCGTGTTGTAAAGCTAGTTACAAGACGGCGGCGTGTAGTTCGCACTTACGGATTTCCGTAATTTACAGAAAAATGAAAAATATTTACCTACAACTTTTTTTTTATTAATTCTGGCTCAGAATCGATAGCTGAGAAAATGACGCGGCTTTAAAACAATGCCTTGTATAGCAGTTCTATTTAATATCTAGTAGCAGGCACTTACTTACTAAGGGTATCTGAAAGTCAAGGTGTAAAATGAAGCGACATTAAAATTGACAACTGCGTATATTAATTTCACTATTGTTATAATACAGTTTACATTTTGCCAGCCCTTACAAAATGTCAAGATAGTTTTACATAATTCATTAATTTATACAAAACATTTTGTAATTTTATTAAAACAACAGTTATAAACGCTAAAGTAACTACGTAATGTCGTAACAATCAACTATTCATAGGCGTTTTTAAAGTATAATATTAAATGTACGACTTAGTTTTAAAGTAATAAAAAAGCGAATAAAAACTAAGACAAAAATGAAACTAGAAAACAAAATATCAACTTAAACATTGTACATAAATATTTTCAAATAGAAACTGATTATCAATTGATCGATGAAATAAAATTTATTTAAAAAAACATAATTATACAATCGAGAACAAAACGATAGAAACAACAAAATATAAAAAAGTAATGCGATTAATATTTATAATATGGATATTTTTATAACATTTTCATTAACTGTTACGAATCCAATCTACATAAATTATTAATTATTATTTTTTATTTATAATTGAAAATACTCGCGATGAGCTATCTACTGTTTACATTAACTTTAATTTTTGTTTAATAATAATTAGGAAATATATAAGAATTCAGATTTGACATCGATAAAAATATAAGAATGCATTACTTTATATTTATTCATTTTTAGTAAACATAGAATTTAAGTAACTCTATATAAAATATATTTCAACAATAGAAATTTTGGAAACGTGTCAATAGTAAAAAATACTTTAAATTAAAATTAAGTAATAAGTTAGGCCTTTTATTTATAATATACTGCAATATTATATAATGTTTAAATAAAAATAAATACATAAATAAACAAAACATCGCGCATCGTGAGGAAACCTGGACTTATAATTTCTAATTATAAGTTCGAAATCCCGCCAACCCACAATGAGCAAACGTGGTGATTGATGTGAGCTGTGTGAAGTGACACCGTGATGGTGTGTGAAGAGGCTTTGCTCAGCAGTGGGCACTTATAGGCTGTTGATGTAATACATAACTAAATAAAACCTATTTGAAAGAAATCTATATAAAGTCCAAACTGAATAAATATAACAAAACAAATCATAAATATATATATTAAAAATCACGAACAGATCATCTATCGTTAACTTAAAAACAATTTAAATATTCAAAACAATTCTGCCGTTGAAATAGATTTTAAACAAATTTAATTTTAAAGAATAATTATTAACAGTTCAATAGTATATATTATATTATATTATAACGTATATATTATATATAATTAGTAATTTTATAGATATTTACTGACTAGAATTTCTTATATAATAAACAGTGAAAATAACGCTAAAATAAGCCTCGTTATTGTTGGCAAGAATTGTTTATTTATAGGATATGTCGAAAAGGTAAGTCTTTCTCAAGAAATAGGTAGCATTTTAATTTATTTATTAGTTTATTTTAATACTTGTATTGAATCAACCTTTGAAGACACTTAGTTTATTATGTCTGTCTCGGAACTGTCTGTAACAGAGAAAAATAGAAATATATTAGACATATAGAATATCATTAATATAATAGAAATATACTGGACAAAGTACTACTAGGTTTTTAAAAAATTCTCAATAGTAGCACGGAGCCTGGAATTGTGCCCGGTATATGGCAATAGACTCACCCCTATTACACGGGACTCATAACATAAATAGTGAAAAGTAGGTGTTACATTGTACAGTGGCATAATGTGCACCTCTGCCTATCCCTTCGTGGGTGTGAAGTTATATTAGACATAGATACACATAAATCTACAATATTAACCCCTCATTTTGACATGTTATGACAAGATATGCTATAAATCCAATGTAATAAGGGGTCAGGCTATTGCCAGACACCGGGCCCAATATCAGACGTCGTGGTATCACTGCGAAGTTTTCGAAAAACCGAAAAAATCTCAATAATACTGCCCGATTAGAGAATTGAACCCGTTGCTCGGCAGTCATATTTGTAACTACTCGACCTACTAGGAGACAGAAAGAAAATATTGAAACTCCACAAATTTTATTACAACAAACAAAATTGTTATGAGAAAACATAAATAAATCGATTTGATCCAAAGGTTTTTCGTCCATACAAAAGTGAAATGAATATTAATCACCACGCTTGTTCAGGGCGAATTGGCGATTTCACAATTATAACATATTATGATCATGTGTTCTTTCACAGACATGAGCGGTTTAAAGAAATCACCCGGCCATTGCGTACTCGCCAGGTTTCGAACCTGCAACATCTTGCTTGAGAAGTGGGTTCTAACTTCCAGGCCACCACAATAATGTTAGTTTATGAAAATAAGGTATTATTGAACAACTTGTACTATGCCGTTGTCTACCACACAAAGAAGAAGTCAGACTATTAAACTATTTATTTAATAAAAATCTTTGCGTTAGTACCTTTTGGAAAGGTTTCGAGTCAATATAGCCGACCTAATATCTGAAAAATTAATTATAAATGCATGAATGATGGCAAATGAACAACATAACGTCTGTAGAAACAACGTAGTTAGCATACTGCTACGAAGCATCGTAGCGCTACGCAGACGCTACGACTGTTTCAATGCGTAGCAATTATTACGCGTTACGTGATCGAATAATATTTATATTTTTGATATCTAATGGAACATGACTCTGAATTAATGTGTAAATAACTTCGATTTAAGGTCGGACATGATTGTGTACCATAAAGTATCGTCTGAATGATGAGTAATTATAGTGGGTGAACTTAATTGATGCCAGCTACATAAAAAATAACAATAAAAACTAACCTTCAGCCCACTTCTTGCCTCGCATTCCGAAAAAGCCCATCTGAGCCTTTCTCTTAGGCAGGGGTCCGTTTTGGTCGACCAGGAATTTAATTTCATGAGGGCCACTGTTTTTCATGTCTTTCTTGCCCCTGACGCCGATGAATTTGCCGCGGAAGCTCAAGTTGTTTAGGGATTTCTTTCCTCTCACGCCGTAGAACTGGTGCATGTTCGCCGCTCGCTTCTCAATTTCATTGGTCGATAGGTCAGCATCAGATTCTGATGACTCCAAGGGTATGTTGGAGGGACGGTTGACCTGCGAGATGTAGTGGAGGAGTAGTTCGTTCAGCAGAGGGAAGTCGGAGACGGTGGGGTTCTCGTTTGAGGAGTAGTCTATCTGACCTATGAGGGAGCCATCTCTCTTGAGGTACAGTTCATTGCTTTGGAAGTCTGGGAATTTCTGCTCTTTCTTGCCTCTCATTCCTAGGAAGCCCATTGGAGCTCGCTTGTAATATTCCTCAGGGGCTTCTAGTATGTCCTGAAGGCTCTTTTTCCCTTTAACTCCGACGAAGAACTGAGGTTTTCGTTTGTAAAATTGTTCAGTGCCATCGTCTTCGAAATATTTCTTCCCACGCATCCCGAGGAAGCCTTGGGGCACGCGCTTGGAGACTTCCTGCGCGTAGGCCAGTGATACCAGCTGGATCGTGATGAAAATTAGGCAGGCTCTTGGGGCTCCCATTGTTGAATGATCTGTAACAATACAATTATGTAAGTTAGATTATTTATTGGATTCTGAGGATTTGATACTCGATCTATTTTGTAGAATTATTTGTCGTTTAACTCGTCCAGTACCGTCATTATAGACACAATTATAGAACAATATGTTGCGGTCACCGGTGACCGCTTGGTGTTTGACAGTTTAAAACCGATTCGTAATCAATTAGGATTGAGTTTTCACAATCAACTTTATTTAGTTTATTGAAAATTCATTTTAAAATAACAACACATAATTACTAAAATAACTTTCGCGTGTTAACTTATTCAAATCGGGTTTACAACTAATTGCTAAGTTACCGGCCAAACATTCGTGGCACTAATATAATTTCCGACATTTGCTTTAAAATGTCAACACATACCTACAGTATGTTAGGTTAAACGAGGGACATATTCAAACCCATAATAGTGTATACTCACATGAACCTAACAAACATATAAACGAAACGAAAACACTAATAAATAACAGACAGAACCATAAAAACGCTTCCGCTTACGCTTACGGGTTACGACTTAGCGGGCTTAAGCGCGCTCTATTCTTTTCGACAAGATCGGCGCATGATTTGCAACGCGACTTACTTTATGTAAGTACTGTTTCTGTTTACAAGTTCACTTGTTGCGCGCTCAGTGTTCATGATGATGTATTTTATTAGACAATTACCTCAAAAATTTTGATTATAGGTTTTTTACATATTCGGGACGAGAATCGAATACTGAATACCCTCCCTCAATAAGTCCCTCGTTTAACCTAACACACTGTATATTTACATTATTATGTAACCTTTATGACATTCCTAATAAGGTATTTTGACCTTGACATCGCACGAAATGTAAAAAGCGGTTAGTCTTTTAAATAAAACTTACATAAGTGGCCCCCTTGGGAGGGACTTGTATGCATAGTGACATGTTCAAGCAAAACTCATACAAAATTCATGTCGTTAACAGCAGTTATGCCAAGCTGTAAATTTTGACGTAAAGCTTTTATGAAATTACCAGGAATTAGTCACAGTTATTTTTAATGAATGAGATTAATTATCATAATCCCATTCATTAATGGCAAAAGGGTCCCCTTATTACATGGGACTCATAACATAAATTGTGAAAACTAGCTGTTACATTGTACAGTGGCATTAAGTGCCGTAATGTGCACCTCTGCCTACCCTTTCGGAGATAAAAGGCGTGATATTATGTTATGTCTATTACTGAGCTCTTTATCAAATATCAACCAGTTACAGCTAAGAATCCAAAATAGACTTTATTACTCTCATAAATAAAGTAATAATTTCTATGCCGACAGAGGTCGCTTACAATGGCCGCCGGGACCCCATTACATACAATTTATATTATTATATACAAATATATATTTATGTTCCGTTTATTGTTTTTATAAATGAATGTATTATGATTAATCTAAATAGAAAATATTTTGTTCCTTGACAGAATATAGAAAGACAGGGTTAAGCTTTACTTAATGTGTTTATTATTATTATTTATTTCACTTGCAAGCGGCCATTTTGGAAACCATTAAGTGAGACCTAGGTATGTTTAGTAGAGGAGATTAAGTCTTATGGCTAATTTCACGATTCTTTTTAAAACGTTATCCCATATTAGGATTATCTCCGTGTCGTAGGTGCATTTACAAACATACAAATTCACACATAACACCCACCCGAAACAACAATCTGTGGATCACACAAAGAGTTGCTCTGTGCGGGAATCGAGCGTGCCGTGCAAATTCATTATCAACAGCCAATGAAAGTCTACAACTGAAGCATGTCTCTTCAACATAGGTAAGTGGGTTCCTACATTCTATACTTTTGGCAAGCGACTTGAAGATTCTAATTTTAAATAGCTAGCTTATTGAAGCTGCTTCCTAATCTCTATTAAATGTGTCGTTTCTTAGTCGATTCTCAGAACACGCGAGGAGGAGGAAAAGTGACAAAAAAATATTCTATATCTTTTCCCGCCGGTTTATAAAGTACTAGCGACCCGCCTCGGCTTCGTACGGGTGCAATATGCGTGTATTATACATAGGTATGTTTATACATACTTCCTTAAGAATCACTCTATCTATCAAAACAAAGCCACATCAAAATCCGTTGCGTAGTTTTAACTCGTCGAGTACCGGTTTTGTAGACACAATTATAGAACAATAGGTTGCGGTCACCGGTGACCGCTTGGTGTTCGACAGTTTAAAGATCTAAGCATACATAGGGACAGATACACGGCGGATAGCGACTTTGTTTTATACTATGTAGTGATAGAAATAACCAGTTACCTACATATTAAAACAAACTCAACAACTCATTAACCTGCTGACGATATTCAAACAAAAAAATAAAGAGACAATTACAACATGAACTGCCTACGACAACTGTGTCAACTCAAGAGAAAGAGACAGACATAGGCAATTATCTTAGGAGTGAAAGAGAGAGGGCATTGGCTAATGAGCACCGGTACTTTAGAAGTATGGAGGTGTTTGTGAAATATTAAGAAAATAGACACGACGAGTTATTGTGAAGGTTTCCTTTCTTTCTGTTTTTCTATTTTCCCAAAGTAGGTTAGACTTATACTAACCAATTTCTCAATAAATTTTAATCCAATAAAATCTCAATAATTATTCAATGTCAACACTATACCCCCCTTATCGTAGCTGTTACTTTTAGTGTACGAAATATAATCAATCATATTGTCAATCTGTTTGTACCTGCAGCCTATTGGTCGACTACACGCAGAGGGCTAACAGCGCCTTATGAGTCCGATATAATAACGCGTACAGGCGTGTTGAGGCTGCCCCGACACTGTAGTGCATCGAGGATATTCGCAGATGCACGCATAGATGATTTCTATGAAATCATAAGAAAGCGTGTCGCCTCCCTGATGCAGCGGGTGCGGGGCAGCGCCAACAGTCTTTTGCCGACTGTGGCGGATAGGACTGATGGCCTTATGCTAAAACCCTGGACGAAGACGCAAGTGTTGCCGTGCACACATGTGCCAGAAGTAGTGTGAGTCGTTTGCATTGTTGTATTATATTATTTATGATTAATTATTTGAATTTTATATGATGATGTTTATGTACTAATACTAGTTTATACTAGGTTGTGTTTGTCTTTACTAACCATATTGATAAAGCCAAACTCAATATCATTTAGTTCATTCAATTTCCACGCAATACGGACGCAATGGGCGCTAGTGTTGCAACTCAAAAGTACGAAATTTCACAATACCAATGTCGATCAATCGGAATTGAATTCAAGAGTAAGCCCCCCTGTACCTAGCTATAAGTCTTACTAGATTTGACTGAATGTAAGTATATATTGAACAGTGGTCAACAGATCAAAGATCGACCTTCTCCAATCTGTCCTTATTCATTGGATTTTCGACTTTATATCAATTCGATATCATCAACAGCCATTAAATGCCCAGTGCTAAGCAAAGTCTCTTCTCACACGGAGAAGGTTTGAGCATTAATCACCACGCTTGCTCAATGCGGGTTGGCGATTTCAAACTTATAATTAAAAATTATAAGCCCAGGTTTCCTCACGATGTTTTCCTTCGCCGTTTGTCAGTGTTCTTAATTATATGTGATAGGTATATCTCCACGCTTACTAGGTGGGTTGGAGACTGCAGTTTAAAGACTCAGGTCTATCAAATAAGTTTGGACAGATCCTAATATTTGTCGCTTGCTACTTCAATAATTCTCATGGTGACGATGAGTCTGGCATAATACCCTTAGATTTAAAGACTTGTTATATTTGAATAAAGAGAAAAAAAGTCTACCATAGAACGTTGGTACCTGATGTTGTTGATTATGTAGTCCCTTATTACTTATTAGCAAACTACAACTATGAGAAGATTGTGGAGACCTGTATGGTGGATGGTAGATATATTAAAAATCTAAATAAATAAAACATACATTCATACCGAACAATACACAATTACCTAATGTATTACACATGTAACACTAACACATGTCAATAACTCCTAAAATAATAACTGACAAGCCCTAACCGCCATGACAGTTTCACAGCTCTATTTATGCGAGTAACCGAGAATATCCGCACTAGAGGTGAGCTAACGTGACCGCAAATTTGTTTATCCGCAGCATTGCTCCTCCATTAGGTCGACGGCAGATATATTGCATTTCGTTATGCATCGCGTTGGTACTCAGATTGGTGGCGACGTGAGAACAGGGTTGGACTTGGAAGATGTTTAAGAAAAAAAATACTGTTGGTAACTGAGTAAGAAAACAACGGTGCGGTTCATTATAGACTTTCTGTGTAGATGAAGTCTGACGATGATGATGAGAGATATTGTAAATTGCCTTTTTAAAGTGAGTATGATTTCGAGGAAATTCGGACTTTTATTCAAAGTTGTAAAGTATGTTACTGAGACTTTTGGAGCCTTGAGCCTTAGTTTTTAACATTGATTTCTCAGTTCTTAGTCTCCAATTAAATCATTTTTGCATAACACAAAGTCCAAACATTAACAAGCTTGAGAAATTGAGTTGCTTAAAAGAAATATTCATCTTTGCAACCTACATTTACACTTCCAAAGTCCGTCCCTGCACCCACCTCTAGAACACAGCGCCGTTTTTGTAACACACATTACACCTGACAGGTCCGTAGTCGGAAGTGTTTTTATAGCAGATTCAGGTGATCGGGAACAGAGGAATGACCTCACTGGAGGACACAATATATGTATGTTGTTGAAAGGTCATTGTACTTTGTCTTTTTTCTTTAGGATTTTTTCAACTGTTATGGAGTTTTGGCACTCCGAGACCCTCACTCACACGACGTGAACACAAGCGTAGTTTCACGTCGGTTTTCGCAAGGAACGGCATAATTTCGGTCACAGCTGGTTAATTCGTGCCAAGCATGGCTTTTCTATGTGAATATTATTATATATATAACTTCACGCCCTATATTATTCGGCAGAGGTGTACATTACGGCACTTATTGCCACTGTACCTCTAC